AGGAGGTAATTACCATCCAGCATAATTTACAGCAGCTCCTAACCTTGGATGGAGCAGGGAATCTCAGGGAACTGTTACTGGTTGTTGCATCTCAGCTTTTTCTCTCTGTCTTGGGTGGTAGTTTGTGCTGAGGGGTCCCTCTGTTAGCCAGTCCTCTAAACCAGCGTTTCTCAACCTGTGGGTTGCAACCCAGAAGTGGGTCACAGGAGTATATGAAAGGGTCACAAACAAACTCTAAAAAATGATTCTCCTTTAGAGGAGCGAAACATGGGAAAGGGTGACTTTTCCCTTACAGGCTATCGGAGCTTCAGGGGCTCCCCTGCCGCACATACTTGGGGGCTGGGAGCAGTGGGTGAGGACTGGCCATTGATATTTACAAATGGGTCCTGATACAAAAAAGGTTGAGAACCACTGCTCTAGACCAGTGGTCTCCAAACGTTTTTGATAGCGCACCCCTATCAGTAAAAAATTTTTGAGCGCACACCCCCAGTATATGTATATTTATTTATTTATTAATTATATACATGTACTACTGTACTAATATTATGTACAATATATGTAGATAAAAAATAAATAGAAATAGAAGTTCTAATATTTTTCTCTTGCACCCTAATGGATCGTCTTGCGCCCCCCTTGGGGTGTGCGCACCCCACTTTGGAGACCACTGCTGTAGACCATCCCTCAACTTGGGCAGATGAGCTCTTATTTTTCAATCTCAGCTGGTTTCCTAAAGCTAGCAAGGTAGTACCAGGGCAGCCAGAGTTGCTCTTATTCTTCCCATCATTGTAGCAGGTAGCCAGCAGGGAAACAGGTGAGTGACTGCAACAGGGAAAAGAAAACGGCTGCTTGGAGGGGCTCCTGGAGAAGTAGTGGGAGTTGCTTTAGTGACACCTCCTATGTATTTCCCATCATGATAGTGCTGCTTCTAATGCTGAAGCCTAGACATGTCACAGCATGTCTTGGGGAACATGCATTCAGCTTGTAGACAAATGCAGGCTTTGTTAAGTCATGTTCAGTGACCACATCTTAGAGTCTAAAGAACCACATGCTGGATGGACATCACTGGACTATTGAGCTGCATTATTTAAGTAAAGGAAAGGCTTTGGAAGCAGCCTGTGTTCTCCCTCCTCCCTTCAACTGTCTGTTAAAATTCCTTTTAAATATCAGCATTCATTTAAAACTGGAAGAAGTAATTAATCATCTACAATGTGTGTTTAAATGATGAACCTGAAAGAACATTTTGGTACTGATTTGTAAATAGGTTACAACTGTTGCAGTGAAACTACCTGGGCGCATAGAGTAAAAATGAAACAAAACTTCCCAGGAATGGGAGCCTGAAAATAGCAGAATAAGCATCAGGATTTTTAAGGGGTGGCCTTGTTTCTCTGAACTTTATATGCATGTGCTTCAGCATCTCTGAAAAAGGGAACTAAAAGATGGGATGTAGAAATAAGCCTGAACTATGTTAACTTAGTTATTTTTTCTGTGAGATGTCAGTGGGCCTTGGGTGTATTGGAAAAAGAGAACTTCCATCTGTGTCCTGAACTAGCATTATGCATCAGTAAAAGAATCCAGTACCGCTCTGGGAAGGGCCAACTGCTAACCCCAGGAATACACAGAAAAGCAATACCAGCTAAATGTTTGCTGCACATTTGTTACTCTACTGTTGAACCAGTAGAGCTCTCCATATTTAGACCATACATAATATGAGTGCCTTCTTTTGGTTAATCTTATAGCCCTTTGAAAGAGCTTCATCTACGTAAAAAGGCTACTTTTCCTAAAACTGTTGCAACAGCATGTATGAGTTGTGACTGATTTTCTTTAAAAAACAAAACCAGTGAAACTGGAAAAAATCTTCCCTGTAGACAAGCTGCTAGAATAAAAGTGCTCTGGTACCATCCGTTACATAGGTAAATGTATGGTTGCATAACGTTTCACAACTGTTAATGGGTATTCTCTTGAATATGGGATTCTATCGTACAGTATAGTCATGAGAGTTTTCACTTTTTTTTTTTTAATAGGATGCTGAGACATCCGTTTCTTGAGGCATTGAGTTACTTTATTCTCCATCCTCTGCAATGGTGCATTCATTTGGTTTATTCTTTAAAGAGAAATGAAGTGTGTCATGATATGACTAGTATTGCTGGTGTGTGTGAGATGGTGGTGAAAGTTATTGGTGACTAGCAACTATAAATGAATTTTGAAAGTTTCTCTTGACTGTTTTTGCAGCTAATTATGACTGGACACTTTTGATTTTGTGATTTGGCAGTACCACAGAAAGTCCTTTTTGAAAACCTCAGATTGATTTCACTCTCAACCACTTTAACCATGATATTAATTCTTGTATTGCTGAGCTTTTATCATTTGAAGCCAGTGTAAAATGATCTTAGACACAGTTTTGGCGATCGGCTGGAACACGGCATTGTATATTATCTTCAGTGGTTAAAAACAGTTGGATTAAAGTAGTTGCTTTTCTCATTTTGGCTCTGTTTAATGTGGTAGTTATGTAGTTGGTTGAAAGTTGTTTAAAGCATGAGGATATCTGATGTATGCGTCTCAGCGTAGTGCTGAAAAGCTGATTTTCTTTGGCATTGAGAAACTGCATTAGTTTAGTTGTAACTCTTTCTGAGAGAGATGCTTGTCTAGATCAGTTGTTCTTATGTATGTTGGCTTCTTCCCCCACCCCCATATCATCACAAAATGTTTTCCCAGTTTAAAAATGTTTCTATCAGGTACCATGAGGAGCTTGAATGAAATTAAACAGCTAACAAAATAAATAAAATTGTGCCTGATGCAACCTTTTTTGTGAAGGCTGATTGGTACTGTTCTTTTGCTACTACAGCATGAAAACAAAATATCTAGCATTTGCTTGGCTCAGATATTTTTGGCTCAAAAATAAATTTTCCAGCCAGATTGGAGCCAAACACACACTTAATTTTTTCACTGCTCTACTAATCCATTGAATATTCTGAAATTGGAAGCTATTTGCATTCCCTTGTGATTCCTTTTAAGTTTTTATGCCAATTTTGTGAAATACTCTATTTAAAAAGTGTTGTCATGCTTGTTTAATTTCTAAGCCTTTGTTTAGAGTAGGAAAAGAAATTGGCATGAGTCTGTTTCTGAATATGACTTGCACCGATTTGTGTGCGTCATAAATTGTTCATTTCTTATACCACAATGTTTCAGAATTGGGTGGTCATTTTATGCTATTTTGTGAAATGAATAATGTTGCTGGTTATATATTTTTAAACATAAAAGTGTGTTAACGCTCTTTTCACAAAGTAGCACCAGTTTTTTAGATGTAATTTATTTTATATTTGAATACTCAATATCTATATTTACAAGGGAGAAGCTTAAAAGTATGCACCTAAGAAGAATCTTTTGCCATGAGTGCTACCTACCTAGATACACATTTTAAACCCTCAAAACCACAGTTTAATTTCTAAGTTGGCAAAGGTGAGACTTTCTTTTGTTGGCTGCCTCTATTCTTTGACCACAAAATCTAAAAGCTACTATTGCATTTTTAAACTGCTGTTGTCTCAGTGGATTTAAAAAAAAAAAAAAGTCTTGCAAGATGGCTAGTAACTGATATTCCATTCAGGAGCGAAACTGAAAAAGCAGCATCTTATGTGGTAGATCTGTTCTTTGTGTGTATTTATAGTGGCTTATGATCCCTTTAATGATGCTATTAAATTTGTAGCCTATCTTCCTTTTGGGTATTGTGGGTGGCCTAGCAATGAGAGGGTGATGGCTTATTTTGACCATAGTTGCTTAAAAAATTGCAAGGCCTACTTCTGCTTCTGGCAGATCTCTTTTGTTCTCGGATGATGGGATGTCCTGTGTCTATTGGAAGATCAGATTTGGCCAGTGGAATAATCTGACTTTAACTGGTGCCTGTCGCTTGAAGCAGGAAGAGTGTGAGATGTCAGGCTACCTTAAAAATATTTGTTTTAGATACAGTGTATAAAAACCAAAATATGTTAAAAGTATATTTTCAGTTGCAGGGAGGGAGGAACATCTTGATCGCTTTTTCAGGAAGGCTGAGTTTTCTTTGCCATTTCTGTATAGCACGGAACAGAAGGGTTATGCAGGCAGGTGTCCTCAATTCTGGCATCTTTCCACCTATGTATTGGGCACATTGGAAATTTTGCATGGTAAAATCTTGTGGCTCAAGTCGATACTCATTCCTCCTCATCTGTATATGTGTTTTTTTTGTGCAAGCCCTCCACACATAAAAATGGCCTGCTTTCTTAACCTGTCAGCTCATAAAATACAGATTTTAGGGTAAAATGCCTTTTGGGTACACTTTGCAGCTATTTCAGCCTGTCATGAACTGACTAAAAGGAGACCAATGCACAGTTAGTCAGGAGATGATGTTACCCAAATAAGCTAATTAAAAGTTTAGCAGGCTGTTTTTAGGCTCTTGCAGTGTTTGACATTTGAAACCTCTTCTTATGAGGCCTCCAGTGTACTAATGTGTGGTTCTAACAAAGCTGATCAAAGTTCTTTTTTGCAGCATTTACTTTCTGTAAACTTGAGCTAAGGTTTAGTAGCCTGCTCTGCTGGTTGTGATTTCAGCTCATGGTGAGAGTGAGCTTTGAACTCTGACTGATGTGATTTATACCACATTGGTAAAGGATAAGAGAGTGCTCCATACTTGCTGGAGATGACCCAGTGAGCCTGTTGTCCTGCCAATCAGTGCCTACTATTCTCATGCCTTTATGCTTCCTATTGGAGGCCTTTGGGGATTCCATTTGGGGTAACCTATAGCCCTTAAGCAATACACTCAATTCTTGCTGCTTTTCACACCAACAAACCTAGCAATACAGTTATTGGGAGGATCATATTTAAATGTGTGTCTGACTTGTAGGTTCTGACAGCCATATCATTAACAAAAAGATCATGACAAAACTAATTTGATTTAAGAAAAATGGAACTGCTATGTACCTCCGATATGCCCAACACAGCACCATGGAGATGCTTTTTGGATCTCTTCACAGGTCTACAAAGCACTGTCCTTGGATTTTGGCTTCTAACAAGTGCCATTACATGTAAATGACTTTTCATTGGTATAGAATGCAGCTGCCAGTAGCGCACGTTCTACGTAGCTCCAGCAACTTTTGACAAGATAAATCTTGCATAATTTTTTTTCTGTTGTATTTTAATTGCAAGAAGCACTTTTGGGAAATTTTCAAAGTTTCTTTGTTTCTGTTCTGACGCAGCTTCCAGGTGGCAATATCGATCAATACCTGAGGATATGCAGCCAGAAATATGGATTGCACAGGAATTACGGCGGATTGGAGACGAATTTAATGCTTCCTATTGCCCAAGACGGGTAATCTTTTTTTCTATTTTTTTAATTTTAGTTTCTATTTCTTTATATGCAGGCTTTAAAAGGAAGACGTTAATTTTTGGAAATACTTTTTTTTGGGTATAGGAGGTGTAAATATATAAAGCTGTGCATAAATATGTTTGTGTATGGAGGTATAATACTAAGATTTTAGTGACAAGAGGTGTTACTTAAATGTTTAAGGCTGTTTTGATGGGGGTCCTCTTTTTACAGGTGGGATTTAATCTCTGATATGAAGTGGTGTATATAGTATTTTCCCGTAATTTACACTGTACAGATCTAGCAAAATATCTGCTTATGTCTTTTGCTGTAATCTGAGAATAAAGCTGATTTAAAAAAAAAAAAAAAAGATTTTCCAGAAAATCTTGTAATTAATTTGAGAGAGAGGCCTTGGTTTTTAATTATTTTTAAGTCTTCCTTCCAAACCCCAAACTAAAAATCTTGAAACATTTGCAGTTTGAAAATAGTTTGTATATTGCCCTGTATTAAATTCCACTTGTCATTTCTATTTACCTGTGACAGTGTTGATGGGCAAAAATTTCAGATGTCAGCTAAATGCTCTACTGCTGTATGTTTAAAAAGGGGAAATGTAAATTCTAGCTTTTGTGGCTCTGGGCAGAAGCTTGGGGATATGAACAAAGTACTGCTACATCTTTGTGTTCCTGCTGCACATCTGGCTTCTCCCATGGTCACAGTCCATACAGCTCCGTTTCTTGGCAGTTCCTGCTTTAGTTGTGCCCTTTTTGGGAATGGACTTTTTTTGTCTATGTTTGTTAAAAGCAACAGCTGTGCCATTATGATATTAATGCCACAATGTTTGCATGTTACACATGTGATTACTAGTCTACTGACTTGTCTTTATTCTGATATGAGAAGAGTCCTGTTATGTATGAGTGTCACTAGGGGCTCTGACAGAAGTAACATTTGTCATGCAATCAGCAATGTGCACAGCTGCAGAGCGCTTTAAAAGTGGCTGGTTGTACGACAAATTAACCCTCATCTAATGAGAGATCAGGCTTTTCCACTGGATGGGCTCCAAAATGGAGCTCAGTCATCACCCTCCTTCCCCTCCCCCCTATCCAATAGGCAACTGTTGGGTAAGGGGGGCTTGCTGTAACTCCTGGTGCTTTCTGTAAAGCATCATGAGTTAGAGCAGGACTTGCATGTTTGTAAGTGCCCTATGTAAGATGCAGGAGTCCCCTGTAGTACAGTGGCAGAATCCTTGTCTACCACACAGGAGACCTGGGTTCAATTCCCAGACACTTATACAACTACAGCCATGGAGGCACCAAACATCTGGACTGTCTGGTCTTTGGATTCTGTCTCAGTGGCCTAAAGGGGAGGATGAAAGTTCAAGGCAGCCTCCACTCCTCCAAAAATATTTTTGTCCAGGCATATGCATCAAAGGTCTGGGTGGCCATCAGTGGTTGCCACCACCAGGTGAGATGCTAGCTGTTTGGAACTAGACCATCTTCCATGAGTGCCAAGTCAGTAACCTAAGCTTATTCCCTCCCTCCTATGGCACTCCATTATAGCAGTTGTCCTTAGCTTGACTTTTGATTTTTGTGGCTTATGATTTAATCAGTCTTCTCTTGAGCCCCTTTTTTGCTCATACTGGGCCCTTCATGATTTCTTCTATCTTCCGCACGTAATGATGACCTCCCTACCCTCCTGCTCATCCCCCAGATGACATTGGTATTCTGAGTGGTGGCCTGAATTTAGCAGCAACCAGAGGTTCATTTAATGTTGTCCTTAAGACAGCCCTTTTCTCATCAGTTAGATTGGAGGCAGGTGATTATTTCAGCAGGAGGGCTGCTTAACGAGTTTTGGTGAGCTGTCGAGGGCAGCAAGGGTAGCCCCACCACTTGATGGGTGCTTCGCCCCCTGGTAGCAATTTTGGGATTGGAAGACCCATCCCTAACCCCTGGCGTTTGCCACTGGAAGTCCCTTCCCTTGCCTCCTGGAAGTACTCCTTTTGGGAGTTGGGGGTTGCCATCTAGGAACCAGAAAAAAAACAAATCATACACTAAAAGTCAAACACTTACTATAATATATTTTATTACAAAATGTTTTTGTCATGATTTGTGTTTGCCTAGTGTATATAGAGGTGATTGCACAATAACTAAAAAATAAAGTCTTACTCTTGTATATTGTGTGTGGGGTGTGGTTGGGGGGGGTGTGGTGGCATGGGAGAGGTTTGTGAGGGGGGTGTGGCTGTATTTGGGGTGGCAATAGGGTATGTTGGAAGTGTGCATATCTGGGGGGTTGGGGCAGGGTATGGGTGGCTTTTGTAGGGTGTAAGGGATGGTGGGGGGGTGTCAGGGTCACGTACACACTCCCCCCTCATGGTGCACAGCCTCTGCTGCTGGTGGCGGCAGCAGCAGCAGGCGGCGGGCACTCAGGGCTCTCGTGGCCTGCTCGGGCACTGCTGTCCAGCAGCATGTGGCTATGGCCAGTGCTGCACGTGGTGGCAAGGAGTGCAGCCAGGCTGGCCTGCCTCTATCATGTGGGGCTCCACGTGGTGCACATGCAGCCCCTGGCACTGACGCACCACCAGGGAAGCCCCACGCAATGGAGCTGGCAGCCTTCCCTGCCCACTGCCATGCAGGTCCCAGGGCTCCACTGCAGTCCCCACCCCTCCCTTCCTCATACCCACACCCTGCCCACTTGAGCTCTGTGCTCCCGCTGCTCTCCTGGGCGCAGGCTCCATGCTGCCACCAACCCCATGCTATGTGCCTCCTGGCTAGCTGCAGTTCCCGTCTGCCCCAGCTGCTTCCCTACCTGGTAGCTGTAGTGAGTGGGATGCTGGGGAAGCTGAGCAGGCCCCCTGGTGGCTGCAGCAGCGGCAATAGCAACCCCTCCCAGAAGCCGGGCCCTTCCACCTACAAGGGTGGGAGTGAGGTGCGCAGGCTGGACAGGGTACAATTAGTTGGTGGATGCCTGCATGCTGGATGAAATTGCTTGGTGGGCTGGGTGTGGCCTGTGGGCCAAATTTTGCAAGCCCCTGAGTTAGATTGTTCCTCCAGTCTCTTTTAGTGGAATAAGTTTATGGGAAACATTATCTTTCTTTTTATTGGTTAGATACTCTTAGTCCTTGTGGACAAACAAGCTTCCTTCCACTATAGGCCTTGACTTACTGGGGAGCATTCCCCTGGTTGCAGCCTTGGCATTAGTCATGTTCAGTGCCTTTGTCATAAGCTCACTGTTAGGAAATGTGTTGGGAGTTAAAGTGGAGCTGCAGTGTACAGTGCTGCAGAGATTCTACCTATAATAAATAGGAGATGAGCTACTTTCAGCCTTGGAGGCCTGTTCAGCTGATTTGCGTGGTCTCACCAGCCCAGAATCAAGAGAGCACAAAGATGGCTTAATGCCATCTGAGCCTCCTCTGTGCCCATTGGTCCAAAATGATCAGGATTAACATGCTTCCTGCCTCTCAGCAACCCAGTGATTTGGAAGTCAGTGCATATTGATTCTTTCAGCACTTAAATTGCTACATACTTCAATGCAATTCTGTGAGATCCTGATATTTTTAAGTGTTTTGTTCCTAGTTTCAGAAATATCACAATGTTAGTTGCCAGCTAATCCAAAAGGATTCAAAGCATTAGCAGAAATATTGGTTGCTGCTTCTCTTCTTCCCCTCTTCTTTAATCCCTTTAATCCTACTTCCAGGTGCCATTCTCTCCATATGTAAAGCATTAGACCAAATGTCTTGGGTCATGAGATACGAAATGACATGTTTCTGTTACCCTCTCATCTTAAATTCTCTCATGCCAGACAGGGGAAAATAGTATTAGGGAAGTGCAGACATGCCAAATTAAGGTTTGTCTGTGCCTAAGTTTTCAGGTACAACTGTTCTGAATATTTCTCTCAATGTGAACAAGAACAAGGTATTCCTTCAGAATAAGCGTTCACACTTGGTATTATTCAGAACCACAGTGGGTGCATCTACATGTGATATTAAGGCGCCTGAATAAGTTCTGGTACGCTTTGCACCAGTATTTATTGCTCCTGGGCTCAGCACCTTCACGTGCACCCAGGACTGCAGCATGTTGAGCCAGGTTGGAGCAGTTCCAGCAGTTGGTCCTGGGGGTCAGCCTGCCAGCCTGGGATTGCTCCGATCCAGCTCATCATGCTGCAGAGGGGCTGGCAGGGGCACAGAGGCGTTCCACTGTGGGGCTAGCCAGCAGGCAGCCTCTGTTCTGAAGCACCTTTGGGCCCTAGTCAGTCCTATCAGCATCTGCATGTATGCTGCAGTGCACTAACTGCTGCCACAGGATAGTGCTTTTGTTTACAGGTACTAATCTACGGTGGCATTTATTAGTTTTCTGCAGCCTAATAGTGCAGCACATGAAGACAGACTTTATTGCGGAGCCAGTTAGGCAACTCCACTCTAAATGTCTCATGTAGATGTATCCTGTTTGTTTTAAGTTGTTTATTTTCATTTCAGAGTGAAAGCTGGTCCATGGTCAGCAAGAATATGTGGGGGGGAGCGTTTATCTGCGCATTCATATGGTATTGATATCTTAGGAGGGGGAGAACTGCCTGTTGCAGCATTATACTGAATGTATACAGCCTTTTCCCTGTATAAAATCTGTTGGCTTGGTGTCCATACTGGTGAATGGCACTTGTTATTATGAAGTGATTAATTATTATTTTTTGTAACTTTTTTGCAGTAGACTTCCTACATGTTACTGGGTACAGGGCTACACAATTCAGTGTCTCTCCCTTGATTGCATTTAGAATTGATGTTTGACTAACTAGGCTCCAGTATTGTCTAAAAGGGTAGGGAATTGTGGCAGACTCCAAGCTGAATGGGAGCCTCCAACTAGAGTACTGTATCCAAATTTGGGCACTGCTGTTGTAGAAAAGGGCAAACAGAAAGCAACCAAAATGACTTGGAGGGAACAGTTGGAAGAACTGGAAGCGTTTAGTTTGGAAAACAGAGGACTGAGGAGAGAGTTGCCAGCAATCTTCAAATACATAAA